GGGATGCGAACCTTTGCCTCAATTTGTAACATTTAAGTACGCAAATTAGTCATGTTCGCATATAAGGGTTATTCGAGAGAGGAAACAAAATGCGCGAGTTAGTGGTACGAACCTTGAGACCCTTTGAACTGGCACTGACACGATTCATGAGATCCTGATATTGTAGAAAACGCTCCAGGGTATCCGTAACAGTTGTCAGGAAGGCCTGAGTGTGCACGTAGTAGGCTGGTGCCAGACGCACAGACAGGATGGCCTCCTCCTCACGCCTAGTGAGCTGTGGATCCGGCAGGGTGTGTCGTTTCAGGCTGAAAGTTAGCAGGCAGTTTTGCGGGGCAGATGAGTTGCAAGTTTGGCTAGCTGGAGTCGCCGTAGTGGCAGATTCTTGCCAGCTGGAGGGCGCAGTTACAAATCGCTGGGGGTAGAGTCGGCCTGATGGCGAGAGATCTTCCACCTGTGTAGAGCGGAGGGAAGGGGCGGGGGGAGAGATCAATATTTAAAAATGCAAAAAACAGATGATAAGGAATGCTTCGCCTGAATACACAGATAATAGGCCTCAACAGAAGAATCGTCTTCTTTAAATAAACTGCACAGTTTAGTTCTCTTTTCTCCCTCCGCTTACTGAAAGCAAAACCTCAATATTGCCTTTGGGAAATAACGTGCAAAGATGCGCAATCAAAGTAATCTAAAGGCAGGTTTAAAAGGCAGGTAGCGGTTGGGAAGTCAGCTCTCGAGGAGCAGTCGCGTTACCCCGTATCAAAGGAAAACATATGTAAGATGCAGCTTCGTTTTTTGAATTCATGAACGCTAGAATAAGACCTTCTTGTTTGAACAGGAACAACGGAATAACACGGTTCTAAGCTGAGAAGTTGTCTAAGCGAAGTAATTAGCTACACGAAGGGGAAGTGAGTGGCAGCAAGCCAAGTTGCCGAGTCCCCATCATGTCAAGAAGCGAGGACGGCAATAAAATTACGGTAATTAACGCCTCGGACGCGAACTGAGGAGCCATCATCACGTCATGTACGATCACCAGCGACGAATGTGAGATCCGCTAATTGGACTAAGCAGATGGCCGTATGAAAACTGCGCCTTATAAATAGTGCATGTCGGGCTCCCTCATTATCCTCATCTAATACTGTCCCTGATGATAGGTTTAAGTGAGAATCCGAAACGTTAGACCAATAAACGTCATGTTCCAACGATTGCAGCTTCTTCTTCTCCTTCTTCAAACCAACCAAAAATGCCCTCGGTGCAGAGCGAACACGTTTTGAGAGCAGCGGCGTGAGCGTCATAGGCGTATACCAGTTATGCCTTCTGATGCAAGTAGACGGTTGTTTGTGAGCCTAAAAGGTGTATGGGCTACAGTAGATGAAAGCACAATTATAGCAGAAGATGGTCAGGGCCAACGCACCATCACTTCACCCAGCCTTCCATCCAGAGTCATCCAGTTGCCACCGTGCAGGACAGTACGTGAATGTGAAACCAGGTCCAGGAGAAGACTGGAGGCCGAGAGTCGCAGAAAGTCGGCCTCGTGTGGACGATTCGCCAGCTCCCAGGTATCCTTAGAGGTGGCAGTGCCGCAGGGGGCAACAGTTAAGAGCAGGGTGAATGAGGTGACACTGAGACTAAGCACGGTGTTGTCCTCGGTCTCCTCATCCTCCGTCTCTACCGCCTCCTCCTCCTGCAGTCCCTTCAAGGTTGGGGACAAGCCCTCCGAGGTATCTTTTAGAGTAGTGAAGAGGTGAAAATAGGTGGAAACGAAACACAGCAAGACGAGTAGACTAAGCACATATGA